GAAGAGAGAGAAGGGGGAGAAGGAGGGAGAGAGATAGAGAGACAGATCAAGATATAGATAGATAGATAGAGAGAGAGAGACGAGAGGCAGGCAGACTATGTGTGTGTGTGTGTGTGTGTGTTTGTGTGTGTGTGTGTGTGTGTGTGTGTGTGTGTGTGTGTGTGTGTGTGTGTGTGTGTGTGTGTGTGTGTGTGTGTGTGTGTGCGTGCGTGCTTGTGTGTGTGTCTGTGTGGGTGTAAGTGTGTGTAGGGTGTTTGTGTGCGTGTGCGTGATTGTGTGTGTGTGTGCGTGAGAGAGAGACAGAGAGGCAGACAGACAGACAGAAAAATCACAAGTAAAAATGCTTGAAATGTTTACTGTTCTTACAATAAGTCTTAAGAGAAATACTGAAGCTTCTGATATCATCTTTGGATAATGATATTCATACGCTCCAGCGTCTGAAATCAAGTGGAAAACCAATCGTCAAATGTTATAATATTTATAAATTTCACGCCTTTTGATAATGTATCGCTTGTTGATATATGTTTGTAAATATCAACAATGTTTTCTAAAAGTATTTACACATACAAGTAATGCAATTTGCATATTTTATAGTTTGCTTACAATAGATGTCACTTTTGCAAAAATGACAACAGCGAAAAGTCCTTGGAATATGTATTTTCCCCTATTTTTTCAGATAGTTTTTTTTTCCATAAAATCTAGTCATAAGTTTTCATCTTTTAAATTTTATTAATATTTCTTAGGTGGGATACTAAGAAATCAGAAACATTCTTGACTCGTATCTCAAACAATCGTGTCTGTTTTTGGTGCAAGGACTGGATAGTTCTATATGTGTTTAAATGTTGTTTCACAGATACCTATGTGTTGAAATAAATATAAAGGATTAAATGATTAAAGAAAAAAAAGTGCATTTGAATAACACCTTTCGTGTTCTCTTGTGATATTTCTTCCATTACCATTATCACTAATATACTGAAATATATTTGCATGAGTATAGCCTCATTTCTCTCTTTTGTAATTGTTATTATTAATTAAGAATTATTTTATTATTATTGATAATTATAATAACATTAATAAGGATGAGAATGATCACAATAATAATGATAATAACGATAATAATGGTAATAGTGATAACAACAATAATAATAATAAAGATAATAATAACAACAACAATGATGATAATAATAATAATAATAATAATAATAACAATAATAATAATAATGATAATAATAATAATGATAATAATAATAATAATAATAATAATGATAATAATAATAATAATAATAACAATAATAACAATACTGAAAACAATGAAAATAATAATAATGATATTAACAATAACGATGACAATAATAACGATGAAGGTAATGATAACGATGACGATGAATGCATAGTTTAAATTCATCACTGTTTAGCAAACTAGTGCAGATCGTAGCGATGGAGGAATGGTTTGCGTTGTGGCTTGGAATTCGTGTAAATAAAGGAAAAATAACTAGTGGATAGTGAGCGGCTAAATAGAGATTTACATACAGAGAGGAAGAAAGATATATGATCGGCCATTCATTATGCATTCACACACGCACACAAGACATGTAAATGAACATGCAACTGCACTGGAGCGGCACTTCAGCTTTTCTCCGGGGGGAAGGGGGGGGGGTCATAATTATGATAATGATAGTAATTATTGTTATTGCTAGAAAATGAGCCTTTCCACGGCAGTTTTAAACTATAACTGGTCCTATATACTGTAGGTGTAATATAGTAAAAAAAAGTAGAAAAAGAAAAAAGGTACTGTATTTAGGGGGGGGGGACACTGACACCCAGCTCCTCCCCCCCCCCCCAGTTGACGCCTCCGATTATGTATGCGTATATACAATAATGATAATTTAATTTATTCTTATTATTATTATCATTATTATCATAATGATAACGAATATGATTAAAAGGATAGCAATTATAATTACTTAATAAATAATGATAATAGTAATAATGATAATAAAAGACACTAATGACAATATTGTTAACAATAGGGATAATGACAATATTAAGAATACAAATTATCATTATGATACTAAAAGTAATAATAATAATAATAATAATAATAGCAAAATGACTATTACTATTACTACTAATAATAATGAAAGTAATGGAAATAATAGTAATGATAATAATAATAATAATAATAATAATGATAATAATGATAATAGTAATAATAATAATAATAACTGATAATAATGATGACGATAATGATACTAATGAAGATGATTATGATGGTGATAGTAACAATGGTAATGATAAAAATGACAATATTAATGATAATTATAATGATGAAAATAATAATGGTAATAATGACGATTATTATGGTAATGATAATAACAACAATAATTATTTTTATTATCACAATCATTATCATTAACATTATGATTAATATTTATATTAACATGGTAGTGGTGATTATGATGATGATGATGATGATGATGATGATGATGATGATGATGATGATGATGATGATGATGATGATTCTTATTATTATTGTTTTTGTTGTCGTTATTATCATTATCATCATTATCATTATAATTATTACTATTATTTTTGTTATTATTTTTTGTTATTGTGATGATGATAATGATGATGATGATAAGGATAATAACAGTAGTAATGATGATAATAACAATTATGGTAATAACAGTAATGAAAAGGATGATGATGATAATGATGATGATGATGATGATGATAATGATGATGATAATAATAATAATAATGATAATAATAATAATAATCGTAATAATAATAATGATAATGATAATAATAATGATAATAATAATAATAATAATAATAATAATAATAATAATAATGATGATAATAATAACAATAATAATGATAATAATGGTAATTATAATGATTATCATTATAATAACGATCTTGATGATGAAGATGGTAATAAAAGAAAGTAATAATAATAACAATAATAATAATAATAACAGCAATAATAACTGTAATGATGATGATGATAGATATTACTACTACTACTAATAAAATGATAGTAATAATAAATACTACTACTGATAATAATGACTCGGTAACATTAAGATTAATAATGAAAATGATAAGGGTGACGATGATAATTAATCACTAATGATAATGATGACAATAAAGGTCATAATGATGATAATGATAACGATGATAAAAATAACAATTAGTATTATTGTTATTATTACTATTACTATTAGCATTTTTATCATTTCCGTTATTATTACCATTATCTTTATTATTATCATTATCATTATTATTATCATTATCATTATTATTATAATGATAATGAATATAATAGTTATCAAATGAATGATAATATTAATTATAATAATGGTAATAATGATACTAAATAATAACATTGACAATAATGATAAAAATATGGAAAATGATCATAATATTGATGATGATAATAATGATGATAATAATAATAGTGATAGCGATAATAATAATAGTAATAAGAATGATATTTGTAAATACAATAATAATAATGATGATAATGATAATAATGATAATAATAATTGAAAACAATAATAGTAATAATAATAACGATAATAATAATAATGATAATAAAAATAATGATAAAAATAATAATAATAATGATAATGATAATAACAACAATAATGATAATAATAATAATAATAATAATAATAATAATAATAATAGTAATAATAAAGATAATGAAAACAATGAAAATAATAATAATGATAATACTGATAATACTGATAATAATAATAATAATATTAAAGATAATAATAATAATAATAATAATAATAATAATAATAATGATGATGATGATGGCGATGATACGAATGCATAGTTTAAAATTATCACTAATTAGTAACTAGGTGCAGATCGTCGCGATGGAGGAATGGTTAATGGAGGAATGGTCAACGCCGTGGCTAGAAATTCCCAAGACCCACGTTCGAGACTGTTCCATGCCAAGTGTGGAATCACACGTAGGCCCATTTTTCGATTTCTTGTATAGATAAAGATGATGATTAAGAAAATTATCATGGTAGTTTATATGATGAAACAGAATTTCAAATTTAGTATGTGTAAATCCCGACAGATGAAAAGTCATTCTTATGACCTTTAGTGATAAGAAATTTAAATGTAAACTAGGAAAGATCAGACATTCTTATTTAATTTAAAAAGATCTACTTCATTGTGTAAATTATTGAATTAAAAATATCTAGTGGATAATGAATGACTAAATATAGATTTATAAATGGACAGGTATAAATGGACACATGCATTCACACACGCATAACAGAGATGGAAACTAAATATACAACTTTACAGGGGCGTCATTTCAGCTTTTTCTGGGGGGGAGGGGGGCTTTTTCTGAGCTTTTCGACGCGGAAAAGCTCAGAATTATTATTATTATTATTATTATTATTATTATTATTATTATTATCATTATTATTATTATTATTATCATTATTATTATTATTATCATCATCATTATTATTATTACTATTATCATTATTATTATTATTACTAACATTTTTATTATCATTATTACAATGATAATGATAAATATGATTGTAATAATGAGTTAATAATAATAATTAAATAAATTGTAATTATAATAATGATAATAATAATGATGATAATAACCCCTAACACGGACAATAATGACAATAACAGCGATAATAATAATAATGATGATGATGATGATGATAATAATAATAACGATAATTATGATGATGATGGTGATGATAGTAATAATGATAGGGATAACGATAATAATAATAATAATAAGGAAAATAATAGCAATAATAAGAATAAGAATAAGAATAAGAATAATAACGATAATAACAATAGTAATAATGATGTTGGTGATGATGATGAGGATAATGATAATAATAATGATAATGATAAAATACTACTACTACTACACCTACTTATTATTATTATTGTTATGATTACTAAATGAATTATAATATTAATAATAATGATAATCA